GGTAAGGGCTTGCATCCACCTTTTTTCTATCTGGCTATTCAGTTGTCCAAGCTGCATTTATTGAAAATATTTTTCCTTGTGGCTCTGGTACACTTGTTATCATAAATCAGATCCCCAGCTAGCGGTGGTAGTGCACACGTGTAATCAGCGCTAGGGAGACTGAAGCAGGAGGGTTGCTGCGAGTTCAAGGCCAAACTGGTTTACACAGCGAGTTCAAAGCCAGTGTGAACTACACAGTGAGACCCTGTCTCAAAAACAACAACAACAAAAATCTCCATATACTGGTAGAACTTGTCTGGATCCTGCTACATTTTTCAACTGGTCCATTTTTCCTTTCTAGGCTATGCTATAGCACTCTGGCTGAATTTCTGTAGCTATGTAAGTCTTGATATCTAATAAAATAAGCTTTTCATTTGTTACATCTTTCCCAAGATACTCTTGGCTCTTTGCATTTCCATATAAATTTTAGAATCGGTTTGTCAACATGATACACACACATACACACACACATACACACAATGAAACTCATTTAGACTGCACTAAATCTATAGATCAGGTCAAGGAGCACTGACATTTTTAACATTGACTCTTTAGTCCATGAAGACTATTCAGTTAAATTCAGTTGTGCATCAACCCTATACTAACCAGATATGATTCTTGCCCTTGAAGTACTTATACATTTGTGAACAAACACAGGAACACCAAAGAGCATTGCCAATATTAATACACACCTAATGCCTAAGGAGACTTTAAGGACCTTATACAGATTAGTCTATTTCTACTTCATACCAATACTTTGAGGTTCAGTGTGGTTGTGTTAACTATACAGGCTTTTATGTAAAAAAAAAAATTACACTTACTAACTATTTTGGGTTTAATATAGATACAGGCTTTTACAAATACAGAAAATAGCTTCTAGGTCCTCTTTATTCTTTCAAATATCTTCAGAGAATCATACCTAGAATCTGATGACTGCAAGGTACTGGTGAGGAGGAAGAAAATTCAACGCCTTCTCAAAAATAAGTTACAGGTTTTGATTATTTTTATTTGCTTTTTTCACAAAGTGTCCAATAGAGTTCCTACGAGATTTAAAACCATTTTTACATTTACACAGAATGTTTAATATATCAGTGTAGCTATATTAGCTAATAATCAGGATAAATGCCTTCAATGAAGAGGCAAGGCACCTGGGTTCTACTTGTCATCTTGCTTGGTGTGATCTTGAGTCTCAACTTCCGGATATCAGAAGCTCTAGCTCAGAAGGCAAAGGGTTAAGTCAGGCCATCCTCCATATCTTTTCCAGCTGTTATGTTGTAAAGCCAGGAAATCAATAACAAGTTCCAGGCTGTTTGGGGTCAGGGATTTTTAGAACTCATTATGAATGTGTAGTACTTTTAATCTTTTTTTATTTTTTAGTCTTATTATTTAAAAATTAAGCACAGACACACATCCCTAATTCGTCTATGTTCTTCTGCGCACAGTATTTAAGAATGTTTTCCTACTTAACAACTTCTTCATCGTAAGCAATCAGAAAGTTCCTCAAACTGTGGTGGTGCAAGCCTGTAGTCCCAGCACTTAGGAGGCCAAGGCAAGAGAAGCAGGAGTTTGAGGCCAGCAGGCTACACAGACAGACGTTGTCTCAAAAACAAACCCAACAGCCCTCAATCCTCAAGGTGAAGTTTTAACTTTTTCTCTTTACTGTTATTATTTTGGGCTTCCTTTTTTAATTTCTCCATGATCTCGTCTGCAGTTGCAAAGACCAAAAAAGCTTCTTCACTTCTTTACGGGATTTAGGACCCTCATCCCACACCACACACCTCCCTCTTTTAGTGTTCTGGGGGCCGGGTGGGGAGAGGCCAGCAGCCTCGGTGGCAGCTGCCCCTTCCCACGGAGATGCTGCCTTAGCTACCTTTATGGCCTCATGTGTCAAGTGTTTTGTTTGGAGTGGGGCTTGGTATGGATGGCTGTGGTAACTCCTTTAGGATCAGCTGTCCCCGGAAGCAAGGAAGGGGTCTGGTTTCTAGCTCTGGCTGGCACCCTTGTACCAGCACATCATCTTTCTTAGGCATCTTGGGACCCACCAGAGGGGAGCCCCGCCGAGACCTAGGAGCTGGTCCTACCAGGAGCTCCTTAGCCCACAATGAGTTGCAGTGCCTGACCTGGGGAGGCCTGTAGGTGCTTTTATTGTAATAGGATCTGAGAAAAAGAGCACCTGGTCTTTATGGAGAAGTCAGAGAAACATTGTGCCAAAAGTGAAAATATAGCTTATTCTGAAGATGTTTTCCAAGCATGGAGGAAGCCGAACACGTGAGAAAATGCAGCAAGATGAGCTGGTGGGGTTTTCAGAAAACTGCCCGTGAGTGAATCCCAGGACGATCACAGTGTTTGGGAAATGGGGTGTGGCTGGTGGAGCTGCAGAGGCAGGATCCGGGGGACTTCCCTTCAGGTTGGGGAGTCCAAGCTCTAACTTAAAGGCAGTGGCTGGAGAGCAAGGATCCCCCCCTGGGCCTTGGGTGGCTGCCTCAGAGGCCAAGCCTGTCATCACAAGGCAGTGGCTTAAAACAATGGGCCTTCATTCTCCCATCCTTCTGTGTCTAGGAAGATAAGGCTGATTGGATTTAAGGCCACTGTAATCCATGATGACCTCTTCTTAATCAATTATATCTGCAAAGACCCTGCTTCCAAATGAAATTGCACCTGCAGGCACTGGAGAGGTTGGAATTACAACATATTACTGTGACTTTTCAGAGAACAAAATTTAACTCACAACATAAAAGCCTCAGATGAGGATTATGGGTGTGGGTGATTTAGTAAGGAAGTACTCCCCAAGGAACAAGAAAGGATGTAGGAGAGGCAGGACAGGGACAAGGCTGTGACCCCAGGCTAGGGCTCTCTGTTGTTGTAGTCTGGTTCTGCGGAGTCATTTTTAAACATAGCAGACCCCTCAGCACTGTCCTTGCCTGCTGGGAGGGACTATGAAGCAGAAGGGACTCCAGCGACCTGGGGACTGCCCGCCAGAAAGAGCTACAGTGCTGGGCACCAAAAGCAAAGATACAGCAGCACAAGGTCGCGTTAAAATGGTTCCAGGGAGTTTGAGGACATCTAGGTGAAGCACCTTTACTGTGTCCTTTGTTCTTTGTTCCTGTTGCTCCAGAATGGTGCACAGCCTCTGTGTTGGCACACTGATGGCATGCATGCCCACCACTGGCTTTGAAAACTAGAAGTTTCACAATCACTGGCTTAGGCTGCTTTGGGCTGTCCTTGTCCCTCAAGAGATTCCAGTTCTGTCTCCTGAAACCATGAGTGCCATTTTCTGCTTGACAATGCTGAGCCACACATTTCTTACTGTTCTTATTTTACTGTGCTTTTTTCCTCATCTTTCTCCCTTACTGTTTCATCAGTTAGACATCAATAGCCAATCAGAATGCTCCTTTACTTTTGCGGACTGAACTGACCAATCATGGATGATACTTGCAAATCACTGTGTCCTAAAGTTCTCTGTGATATCATTGTGTTGGTGGCTCATGGACTACAGTATCTAAGAGAAGAGAGTGGTTTTAGTTTTGGAGTTTCAAAGTGCTTTGCTTTCTTTCATAATTGAAACTACTTGGAGGAATTTGAAGAACGAAATGCTTCTCCCCAAATGTAGGTTGCATGTCATAATTACATAATATCACTTAAATGAATTGACTTGTAAGATTTTAAAAATAATAATGAGTCCGTACCTGTAAAAGGCCCACATCATGATGAATATATTTAGTATGTGAAACCATTGGTAAAGCACTCAATGATAGAGAGGGAACCTTCAATTTTGACCTTAAATTATTAGCCTCTGAATGGTTTGGAGTATCTGTTGACTGCTGTATGTTTTCACAAAGAGATTTTCTGTCCTCCTAGCTTTCTATCCATGAAATTGGAAGGCTGGATTAGAGGATACTTGAGATCCCTTGAAGTTCTAACATCAATCCCATACCTAAATCCCAGAATCTTAGCACTTTAATTTAGGCGATAAAGTAGCTTAAGTCCCAATTTACATCCATCTGAAGGAATTTGAACATCTATTATTTGCTTGATGATGGGATATAAAGGGAATCAAACTCAGCCCTCTCCTGTGTTAACTCACAGTCCAGTATGAGGCAGGTTAACAGAGAATTGCAAGTCAGTATAAAAATCTGCAATAAAAGATTCTTGTCTCAGGACACTGAGTACCACTGAGAGAGATGACCATCATTGCATTGCTGAGCAGGTCCTGGAAATAGATTTCAATGGAAAAAAAAGTATAAATATGGTCAGTGTGTGATTCTTCATGTACTTATTCAGAAACCCAGCATCATTCTGTCTGTGACTCCACTGTCCTTTCCCTGGACATCAGAGTCCTCTGCTGTGTCCCCGACATTCAACAGGTAGAGATGGCAGCGAGAGTAGAGGTTCATGGGAAAAGTCTGTACGGGTCAGGCTTGGAGGTCACGGATGTCATGTCTGCTTGTGCTTCTTACTGGAAGAACTCAGACACCAGGAGACCTAACTGTGAGGCAGGCTGGAAAATATGGTCTAGCTGAGTTTCCACAAGAAAATGAAATGTGCTTTGCAGGACATATAGCTGTTGTACCACAAAAGGCATAGTAGGAGTTTATGCTAGGGGGAAATAAGTAGCTTTCTGCCCAGTCTGATGGAGGTGTTTGTGATTGTTGAGATGGGAGTTTCAGACCTGGGACTGTACCACATTGGGATTACCGGCCAAGGGCTGGCTCACTGCAACCTCGGTTGGTGAGTTTCCACGTGACAGAGCAGGTCAGGCATTTCATGGGTTCTAAATGTAAGCGGGAGCAGCATGAAGAGGGTGGAGACTTTCTGAGCTGCAGGTGAGCCTTCTAGGGTCCTCTGCCCCACTCGTGCCCTGCAGGTGTGGGATGTGGATGGAGAACTCCAGTCTATCCCACTGGACCACAAACAGCACAGTTGACTCCTATGTTCAGAGATTGCTCTCTTCTCTCTCACAGTGACGCTTTCCGCTGCCCCGCCCTCCTACTTCAGAGGCTTCACGTTAATTGCTCTCAAGGAGAACAGAGAGGGTGATAAGGAAGAGGACCATGCCGGTACCTTCCAGGTAAGACCCCACCAGGGTTCTCCCATGGTCCTCCTTTCGCTGTAGGTAGCAGCCATGTGCAAGGTGTGGAATAGGAGAGGCATGAGTGTCATGCAGGTGACTCCTTGTTCAAATGGCCCTTACAGAGTGAGCACCGGATGCTGAGAGTGTGTCTGAGCAGAGCTGGGCACCAGGCAGGGCCTACTTGCCCTGGCCGATCACGCTGCTCTTCCCTGGCTCCCGGTGCCCTTGGCAGCAGGCGGTGCAGCGTGGTGAGAGCCGGAACCTGGCAAGGTCCTGCGGACTCCCTGTGCGAGTGCTGTGTGATTGACTGGTAATTCTCTCTGGAGTAAACGGAACAAGAGCTCAGGACAGCCAGGCTGGAGGGAGTTCAAAGCGCTGGAGAAAGACTATTAAGGGAACGTAGAGACTGATTTATGAGGGAAGATTAAAAGAATTACACATGCTTTGCTTGGCTAAATGAACAGGGCTGAGTTTAAGAGGTGGTAATGGTCTTTGAATGTCCGTGCCTGCCGAGCAAGCTCCTCCAGGGCAGGCTTCCTTTGCCTTTGTACAAAAGGGCACAGCTAGACGAAAGTGGGTCAAGAGAAGAAAGGGAATCTCAAAGGCCAGGACCTGACAGTGAGTCATATTTCACTGTGGAGCAGCTTTCCAAGGAAAGTGGCGGGAACAGTGTCCTGTCGGAGGCTTAGCGAAAGGGGCTGCCAAGTTGTCCGAACACGTCCCAGAAGGACTGGGGCAGTCTAGGGAGGAGGCCCGGCCTGATGGGTTGTAACTGTTCCTCATTTCCAGTTTCCATTGTCCTGGAATTCATTTTATCTGGCTTTTGCAAACTGGCTTTTGAAAAATCTTGGGACAAATCCGGGAAACTCCTGGCCAGCTCTTAAAGACTCTGGGACGGTGTATGGATTCCTCAATGGCCTCTGTGCCCACATACTTTCTCTCTCCGAAGTCATCTTTTAATCCATGGGGGCCAAGTTGTAATTTTGAGTCTTAGGATTTAAAAAAAAAAATTTTGTCTGCTATTGTCTGGGATTCTAGGCTTCTGGCCTAGTGAGACTATGCTCATTATAATGTCCTTCAATGGCAAAGAAGTCCTTGGCATGCGTTAGAAGTGACCAACATTACTAGCGGCCAGTATCTTTGGAGTCTCCACTTTATGCCAGGCAGTTTAAGTCCTTTATCTTACTCAGTTTATCTGAGTTTAGCTTAGTTTATTGCTGTTTAATTCTCAAAACAACAACTGTATAAAAGGAAGTTGAAACTGGAGAGATTCAGTCACTCACCCAAGCAGCCTGTGAGTAACACAGCCTGCTCCCTCTATCAGGACATCTGACCCCAAGACTGCTAACCTCCCCACAGTACTGGGTGCACTGCCGCCACTGCAGGATGACAGCACTCACATTGAATCCCTCCAGCTTGCTGTGACAGTTTGCTTGGAGATGTGGGTGATTTATCCCATTGTGGTGGCAGAGAGACTGGGCACCAGAGTGGCAGGAGAGGACAAGGTCTAGTAGGAAATGTGTTTGTGGGGAGAAGGGGCTGTGATCCTAATGGTCAGCAGAATAAAACTGATCAGCTTCATGGTGCTTATAGCAGGATACACCCCCAAAAAATTGGCAACAGGATTGTGAACAGGTATTTGTATACCAATCTGCTATTCAGGAAAGATGGAAACAACCCAAATGGAAAGATGGAAACAACCCATACTTCATCAGTGGATAAAGTATGTTTTACATGTTTTACATGGAAAGGGTTTAGCACCCAGCCTTAAAAGGAAAAGAACTTTCATGCTTGCTACAACATAGATGAACCTCAAAGGCATTATGATTGTGAAATAAGCCAATCATGAAATGATAAATGTTGTACGACCTCACTCACGTGAGCTATCTAGCATAGTCAGGCGTTCACAGGATACAACATGGAACGGTAGTGGCCAGGAGCAAGCGGAACTGGGGAATCCTTGTTTAGTGAGTACAGTCTCAGTTGGGGAAGATGAGAAAAGTTCTGGAGATCAATAGTGATGTTGGTTACACAGCAGCGAGTGTTACAAGGCACCACACACTTAATTGTATTTAGGTGTGAGTACATTCTACCCCACACACAATGTGATGCTTAGTGTCAGGCCTGGTGGAGACCTTGCTTCTTTCTAGGTGCTTCTCCTGCAGTTTAATTCAGTCTATCGTCAGTCTTCTCAGCCTACTGTTTCTGCTCAGCTTAATTCTTGTCCTTGAAATTGACAGATGGATACAAGACGCTGCTCACAGTAGGGAGCCAGTTCATATTTGCTGAATAAGTGAACGTGCAAATCGCTCATTCTGGTAGTTTCCAGAACTCAGTGTTTTCTGGGACACTTTCAAGGCTATATCGCTTCTTGACTCTTCCTCCTCCTCTTGGAGCTTCTAACTTCTGCTTTCTGTGTTGTTTTTAGTTTTTGAGACAGTGTCTCACGGAGTCCCCTAGGCTGGGATTGATTTTAAGGTTCCTCCTGCCTCACCCTCCCAAGTGGGAGATACTAGGCATGCACCGTCATGCCCAGCTTGACATCTCTTCTTGTTACAGCGGCATCAGCACCACCTGAGAACTTGTTAGAAATGTAAAATTGAGCCCACCCAGACTTGCTGAATCAGACGCTGTCAGGGTGAGGCCTGCATCCTATGTGTTAGAAGCCTCGAGGGGAATCAAATCTGGTGCGGGCTTGGGCCTGGGCACCCTGAAGGTGATGAGACAGAGACCAACCTTCCAACTCCATGTCCTCCGCCATGACGCAACACATCTGTCTATTCTATCTGTTCCTTTGTGGTTCCCACCCACCCTGGAGGGATGGAAGTAGGTGAGACAGGAAAATACCCAGGCCCAGTGATGATGATCATGATAGCTCACGCTTCCTTGGTGCGTGATGCTGTTCTGAGAGCTTTTCGTTCATTAGCTGGCTTAATCCCCAGCAGCATGGTGAGGTAGGCATTATTATCCTATTTTTCACAGCTGAGGAACTTATGGCTCAGAACAATTATATAACTTTCAGAAAACCACTGAGCTCTAAGTGATGAAGCTGGGATTCCAACCCAGCAGTCCAGTGCTGGGCCTCTGCAAGAATTTCTCTCTACCCTGCCTCTTGGTGTACACATATTCAGTGAAAAAATGAGGGTCCACTGAGGCTTTTTACAATAGCAGTTCCTGTGCCCACTGCTTTACATACTTTATTCTCCTTATTTCTGTGTCAGCATTGTGAAGTTGGGGCTGCCAGACCCATTTTTCAGATGATGAAACTGAGTTTTCAAGAGGTTAAATTCACCAAAGCAGCCCAGCATTTCAAGGCTCTAATGTATGTGATAAACTTTTTTCCTTTTTGTTTTATGGTCCTGGGAATGAAACCCAAGACCTTGGTACTGACTTAGTCCCTTCCCTCCTTTTAAACTTTATTTTGAGTCAGGTTGTGGCCAAGTTGCTCAGGCAAGGCTCGAACTTACAATCCTCCTGCTTCTTCCTCTGAGTGCTGGAATTTTGGGTGTGCACCACCACACTCAGCTGCCAGTTTTCCTCTTCTACTTCATGTCCTCACCCCTTCCCTGCCCTGTGCCATTAAAAAATACACACTTCACTTGTTTCCCATCGTCCCACAGCTTCATGGGGAAGGAATCATAACCCAGGCCGCCACCTTACCCCTCCTACTCCTAAGCAGCATAGTCCCTATCTCTGCCCCTTCCAGTCTTCTCTGTGCCAATGCTTTGGAGCCATTCATTCATTCAGCCACACATACTGAGGTCCTCACTTGGGCCGGGCACCAAGTCTGGGAATTGGAGATGCAGAGATGAAGCAGTGGTCTCCTCATTGAGTTGTGCGTCCTCGTAATTATTCTTTACATTAGAGTTCATTGCTGGGGGAGAAACAAGTTACTTGCTAGAACATCAGCAGATAATCAGAAACTACAAATACTGTCATAATAAAAACAATAATGATCTACAAAAATACATCCCTCTTTGGTTAATACCCTCATTCCAAATATGACAACTCTGAATAATTGGGTCTTGCTATGAAGTTTAGCCAGGCCTTAAACTTACTTTGTGGCCCAGGTTGGGCTTGAACTCAAGACATCATGATATTTTTAAACTCTAGAGAAAAATCATATTCCTAGCTCTAAAAAGGACTCAGAATGGGATATTTTGCTTCCAAGTGAGTGACACTTTACCCACTCACCAATACAAGTGCCACAAAAGCAAACTCTAACGCTGCCTCTGCATCTCATTAGCTCTAAGGAGGACAGGAGTGATGAGCTTCCGGTCCCTGGGAGGGCAAAGGTTACAGCTCCCACCACCCCTGCAGGGTGGGGCCAGGGCCTCTTCTGGCCCCAGCCTCAGGGTCCTGCACAGTAGCCTTGGCACAGTTGGCTGCCAAGAGGGAAGAGATGTGGAATCTCTCTCCAATGCCGGCTGGGTGTACTCACAGTTAATTGAAAGTGACAAGGAATTCAGAGACTGTAGTGTCTACACAAAAATAACTTGCCAGTCCTTACAATTCAAAACCAACTGCTCCCTGGGCTGTGGTGGCCCAGCCAAGTGCACACTGCCTCCCTGGCCCTCTTTAGGAATGCTCATGAGTTTTCCAAGGGAGGCCTGCTCTGATCTCTCTCTCTCTCTTTAAACCTTTACCATGCATTTTTTTCCCCTGGACTCTATTCTTCTCCCTCAGTTAATGTTTTTTTTTGGACCAGAAATCGAACTCACAACCTCACACTTGCGGGGCAGGTGTTTAGGCCGCTGAGCTAAACCCTAGGCTCCTTCACTTAAAGTTTGTTCATTGTGCTTATTGCCTCCAGACATGCTCTCTATGTCGCGTGCTGACTTGTGTAGTACTTGCCCCGCCACTGAGCCCTAAGCTCCAGGAGACAGAGATTTTCTTCTCTCTTTCCCCATGGCGAGCAGCAAATATGCCTGGCACAGAATAGGCAGGCTCTCAAATACTTGACAGAATTTTTCATTAGCGCATGTCAGATATATAGA